TGGGAGGGATTTCCAGTGCCGGTTCTGGGAATGGCAAGGGTTCCTGGGGGATCAGCCCCATTGCCTGAGCTCTCCTTGCTGGCTCTGCTCAACCCTTGTGCTCCCCAGGGCCCCGTTGCCCAAACCAGCCCGTCTTTTGGGGGTCTCCTCCTGCCATGCTTTGAGCACAGCAGCCAGGGAAGGGCTCAGCGTGTGAGCTGGTGCATGGGAGCCTGGAGCAGCCGGAGGGAGCTTTGTCTCAGCCGATCAGCCAAAGCAGCTCAGACACTGCCCAGCCCTTCTCCCCCCCCTGCAGCCTCCCCGCAAGCCTGTGTCTGCTCGGAACTCCCAGGCTCGATTCAACAGGGATGGGATGAAAATTTAGTGCAGTGCTGGGCTGTTTGCACCCAGGGATGACACCAGCCCTGCCATAGCTGAGCCCAGGGGGCAAGGAGGGAGCTGCAGGAGAAGTCCTGCCCCAACAGCCCACATCTGGTGGCTGCCCTCGGCTCACCGAGGCTTTCCACATGGAAATGCCTTTCTTGAAACCAAATCAAAGCTCTTTCCAGTAAGGGTGGGAGCAGCCAATGCTGGGAACTGCCTGTGTCCGAGCTGGCAGAGGTGAGGCCCCTGGAACAGCGGGCACCCTGCTCGGGTTCTTCTCTTCCCAAATCTTACATCACTTATTCAAGCCCAGAGCTGCACGCGGGGCGGGGTGGACGGGAAGGTGAGCCTCCCGCCCCAGCAGAAGCAGCCAGGGGCGGTATCTGTGTAGTGTCGTGTGTGTTTGCTCCTTGCCCTTGATTAAATAAACATCCCAGAGTTATCAGGAGCTGCCCAAAGATCTGAGTTGACATTAATTAGTAACCAAAAAGATGGGTTGGAAAGGGAACGATGGGAGCAAAATACACAGGATTTTGTTTGCGTACTGCAGTGAAAGTGCAGAGGGCTGCTGCTCTTCCTCCCTCCTTCACGGCCACTCACCTCTGGCCCCTGGTCCCTGTGCACAGAGGTGGCATCTGCCCCGTCCTGAGCTGCTGTATCTTGGGGCTCCCCAGCTCTGCTCCCAGCCTTGCCGACACTAAGAGAGCCAGAATTCCAAGAGCAGGTCCTCTGGGATGATGAAATATGGAGCTTTTCCCTTTGTCCTCAGAGCATCGCTCCTCATCCCCTCTCATTATGGTTTTTGTCTTGCCAAGGCTAGGCTGGCAAATGGCCTCCCCTTGAGTTGGAGCTTTAACACCACAAGGTTTGCTCTGAAATTAGCATGGCAGCACCTTAAGACTGGTTCCTGGCTCTGGCCTGCTGTCCTCCCCTGCTCTCCGAACCAGTGCCCGCATCAAGGCTGGGAAGAAGCTGCCTGCACACATGGGAAGCCCTGTTCCCCCTCAAACATACCCAGCTCATTATGCACTGCAGGGGATGCTGGGTGGGAGAATGTCTCTGCCCCTTTTCCCCTGCTCTGACCTTGGCCTGTTTGCTTTCTCCCACTGGGGCAGGCTGAGCAAACAGCGGCTGCCGGGGCCCCGGCCGCAGCCACGCTCCAGCCTGCACAGTCACAGGAGGGCTGTGCTCCCACCGAGCAGGATGAGGCTGCTCTTCCCTGCCCTCGTGCTGGCCCTGCTCACTCCTGCCCGTGCTGCTGAAGGTGAGCCAGCCCCAAACCGTGTGCCTTCCCCTTGCAGGGTGGGGATGGAGTGTCTGTGGCTCCTGGGCTGATGGAGGGGCTGGGGAGTCTGGACAGGGTGGGGAGACAATCGGGTAGTGGCCATGGCCACTGGCCACGTTGGCAATGCCTTGGGAGAAGGTACAAAGGCAAAACATGGGTTATCAGTGGTGCCTGGGCAAATCTCTGGTCATCCTAGTGCTGGATTGCAGCGTGGAGCTGGGGCCTTGGCACAGCCTGGTCCATGGCTGCCATTCCAGCAGGACGTGGGGTGAGAGCAGGGTGAGGTGCTGTTGTAGACCCCGGTGACGGGGTTGACCACAAAGAGGTGGGAATCTCCTCAGCTGGGATGTGTTTGTGTTTGCTTTGACCCCCGGAGCTGGGCTGGGGAGGGAGGCACTGGCCCCGCTGCCCACCCTTTGTTACTCCTTCTGTGCTGGGGTGGCTTTTGCAGACTCCTGTGTCGGCCACTGTGACGATGGCTTCGATGCCAAGCGCAAATGCCAGTGTGACACCCTCTGTGTGTACTACCAGAGCTGCTGCAGCGACTACTCCACTGTCTGCAAAGCCAAAGGTACTGGTCCTGTGGTTGTGGATGCCCAACAACAGTGGGGAATCAGAGGGGTCCATGGTGCACCTACAGAGTCCTCAGGGTGAGGTCTGTGCCAGGATTTGGTGCTGCAGCACCAAGGGGTTTCGGCAGCTGCACTGTGGGGTCCTTGCAAATCCATATTGCTTGGGAGCAAGCAGCTCCTGCACCCAGATCCCATGGGGGACACCCAGGGCTCCCTGGAACCCACCTGCTCCCTTCCACAGTGACCCGGGGAGACGTGTTTGCCTTGCCGGAGGATGACTACCTCGACTACAACTTCACCATCGACTTGGGCACAACAGAAGGCACCAGGGCAACCCCCACAGAGCTGCCCACAGAGCAACCCACATCCCTGCCTCCAGAACAGCCCACACTGGAGAGCAAACCAAATCCCGAGGAGACACCGACCGAGGTGCCCAGCACCACGCTGGATGGGTTTGGGGAGCTGGAGCCTGTGGAGGAGCCCGAGGAGCTGTGCAGCAGGAAACCTTTTGATGCCTTCACTGACCTGAAGAATGGTTCCCTTTATGCTTTCCGAGGTATCCTGGGGACATTTCCTGGGCATATGGGACATGCTACTCTGTGGGCTGACACTGCCAGACCACACTGGTGGCTGAGGTCCCTCCTGCTGCTCCCACCACCCCTCTCTCCCTAGGGAAGTACTTCTATGAGCTGGATGAGAACAGCGTGCGGCCAGGCTACCCCAAGCTCATCAGCGATGTCTGGGGCATTGAGGGCCCCATTGATGCAGCCTTCACACGCATCAACTGCCAGGGCAAGACTTACCTGTTCAAGGTGGGCAAGAGCCTGGCTGTGGGGCTGGGGGGGGGGTGTGCTCCTGGAGGGGCCAATACAGCTCCCCAACCCACCTGTCCATGCACACACACCCACAGTGGCTGCCAGGTATACCCATATCCTGGGCTCCAGGCAGCCAACAGCCTCATGATGGGGCTTCCCAGCATCTACTCACACCCTGGTGCTGCACCCAGCCCCCTGACCCCCCTACCTCTGTCCTGCACCCCCCAGGGCAGCCAGTACTGGCGCTTTGATGATGGAGTCCTGGACCCCGAGTACCCTCGTGACATCTCTGAGGGTTTTGAAGGCATCCCGAACGACATCGACGCGGCCTTCGCCCTCCCTGCCCACAGCTACCACGGCAATGAGAGAGTCTACTTCTTCAAGGGTAAGGGGCACAGTGGGCATGGGCAGGACACCGTCTAGCTCCTGCTCCCCCTCAAGGGTGTGTTCCCCACTAATGCCCTGTACATCCTCTCCTAGACAAGTACTACTGGTCCTATGACTTTGCCAACCAGCCCACGCAGGCTGACTGTGCGAAGTCCTCCCCCTCCACCGTGTTCAACCACTACGCCTTCATGAACCGGGACAGCTGGGAGGACATCTTCCAGATCCTCTTTGGCAACAGGATGAGTAAGGGCTGGGCCTACACTGACAGAGCACAGGGGGTGCAGGTACCCAGGGAGGAGGGAGCTATGCCTGGGAGCGTGAGCAAGCTGAAGAAGCTGTTGTGCTGGGTGGGAGTCCAGGATATGGACAGGAGCCCCCCCAGGCCACAGCTTCATCTCCCACAGCACCCAAATCTCTGCAGCTCTTATGCCCCACACTATCAAACCCATCACCAGCCATCTCACACCACAGTGTCACTGCTGGGGTCTGTTTATTCCCACTGGAGCTGGAGATGCCTTAGGAAAACCCCAGCCCTGGGCAAGGGAAATGAAAGATGGGAAGGTGGAGGAGAAAGGGGTTCAGCAGCACAGGGCTGATCCCAGCTCTGCCTGTCCTTTGCCCGATCGTGATGCCATCCAAGCTGGGATCCTTTGGAGCATCCCTGTGGGTCTGGGCTCAGCTCCCCCTGCTGCTGCTGCTCTCACTTGTCCTGTGGCTCTCTCGCAGCCGGGGCGAGCAGCCCGCGGTACATCAGCAGGGACTGGCGGGGGGTGCCGAGCCGGCTGGACGCTGCCATGGCCGGCAGGATCTACGTGGCCTCGCAGCAGCCCCGCAGGAGGAAGTCTCGCCGCCAGCGCAAGAGGTACAAGAGCCACCGCTCCCTGAATCTGGGCTTCTGGAGCTGGCTGCACAACGACTCCGACTCCGCGGGGATTGAAAGCGACTGGCTGTCGGGCTCCAAGTGCGAGACCCTCCAGAGCGTCTACTTCTTTGTCGGAGGTGAGTCTGGGGCAGCAGGAGATCCAGGGATGCTGCCACATCCCCGAGTTCTGGGATGCAATGGGAAGGTGCCCAGGGCTGGCAGAGAGCCCTGACTGCCGTCTCCCCTTCCTCCCAGACAAGTACTACCGTGTCAACCTGCGCACCAAGCGCGTGGACCTGGTGCAGCCCCGCTACCCACGCTCCATCGCCCAGTACTGGCTGGACTGCCCGCAGCCTGGGGAGGAGAGCACCTGAGTGGGCTGCACCAGAGCCACCAGCAGCACAGCCCCTAGATAGACGAATAAACTGAGTGCCGTGCAGGCTGGAGACCTCTGTCTGTCATCCATCTATCCCTCCATCCATCCATCCATCCATCCATCCATCCATCCATCCATCCCTCCATCCATCCATCCATCCATCCCTTCATCCCTCTATCCATCCATCCCTTCATCCATCCCTCCATCCCTCCCTCCATCCCTCCCTCCATCCCTCCCTCCATCCCTCCCTCCATCCCTTCCTCCCTCCCTTCATCCCTCCCTCCATCCATCCATCCCTCCATCCCTTCATCCCTCCATCCATCCCTCCATCAATCCACCCCTCCATCCATCCATCCCTCCATCCATTCCTCCATCCAGTGGTCTGTGCGGTCCTTGTCCCTGAAGGCTGTGGTTGTCCTCCCGTGTCTAATAACTGCCTGTTGGCTGTGCCAGATCCCTGCTGCCAGCCCTGTCCGTGTCTGTGCTGCTCAGATCTGCTCCACCAGCCAGTCCAGTGCCTCTTCCAACTGGAGGAGAGGGATGGTGCCAGCGGCTGCCAGACAGGAGACAGCAGGGTCAGGTCTGCAGCATTTCCAGCTCCACAGCTCCACACATGAGTGGCTGGGTGGGATGGGTGCTCATCCCCAGGGGACCTGGCCTCCCCCCAACTGCCCTGCTCACCTCTGGGCTCCGGCAATCCCGGCCACGGCGGTGCCGAAGGGATGACCCTTCCCTCGGGGCTGGGACAGCGCTCGGGGCCTGGCAGCTCCCGGGGCAGCGGGTGCCGGTAGGAAAAGCTCCTGCTCCTGCCCCGGCTCCTGCTGCGAGGACACATGAACAAACCCAAATCGTGCCCCACCATCCCCTGGAACCCCAGGAGCTTCTGAGCTGCACGATGCCCACAGGCCCCGGCTCTCACCGCTTCCCCTGGGGTGGCTGGGGGTTCCCGGGAGCCTGATGGGAACTGGGCAGAGCCGCGTCCTCCTGGCCTGGTGGCAGAGCACTGGTGCCTCCTTCGGGGGCCACTGGCTGCAGTGTGGGGAGCCCTGGCAGTGCCTGGAGGGTGAGCAGAGTGGTCAGGCTGTGCTGTGCCACCCCTTTCCAAATCGACCCCCGGGGCTGTACCTGGGACATGAGGGTATCAGCCAGCCCAGGGCAGCACTGGGGGCAGCTGGGGTGGCTGGAGGCAGGAGGCAGCTTCTGCAAGAGGGTTTAGCAGAGGGTGGGTGATTTGGGCACCCATGTGAGGATGCCCATGGAGCCCAGGGTCCCCCCATGCTCACCGGCAGCCGGGGCCTCATGGGGTGGCCAGGAGGGACATGAGGGGTGCAGGCGCTCTGCAGCAGGGGCTGGGTGTCACAGGAGCTGCGGGTGGCTCTGCAGGATGGGACATCACCACTGGGGTCTGCGGACAGCCGGGGCTGCCTGGGGAGCAGTGAGGGAGCAGGGCAGGGCATGGGCAGCCCCCAAGCCTCAGTCCTGCTCATGGGTCCCGTGTGTCCCCCCAATACCTTTGCTGCTCATTCTCCACCACGAAGTCCCTCAGGAGGCCGTAGAGGCTGGGCCAGGCTGGGGCTCCCTCCGATGGGAGCTGCCCTTCCAGAGGGGACTGATGCAGCCCTGTGGGGGCAAACCTGCCTCCCAAGCCTGGCCAAGCCCCCATCCTCGTTGGGGTTCCCAGGACCTCCATGCTCCTCATGGGCACCCTGGGCAGGCCCAGCTGCTGGCGCAGGGAGAGGTTTTCCAGCTGCAGGGCATGGATTTCTTCCTCCAAGCTTTGCAGCACCTTCTCCCGGGATACCTGGGAGCACAAGGAGGTGGTTCAGAGGGATCCCAGCAGTGGCACAGAGCACCCTGCCCACAGCCCCTGCTATACCCTGTTGGCCAGGGGCCTGGTGGTGACCCTGCGTGCCCGGCTGGCGTAGTGCAGCGTGCTCAGTGTCTCTGAGAGGCAGCGTGAGGATGGGGAGATGCAGGCGACCTGCCGGTGGATGAGGAAGAGCTGCAGCTTTCCTGCCTGCCAGGGGGACACCCATTCCCCTCCAGCCTTCTCCGCCATGGGGTGAGACCCCTGCCCAGCCACCTACCATCAGGGTGACCCCGGAGCCGCCCAGGGATCGAGCCAGCAGCCGGGTGAGTTTGCTGTCCCGGTAGGGAACGTGCGTCCGCTTCCCGCGGGGTTTGGCCAACATAGAGATGCAGTGTCCTGTGGGGGATGAGCCCCAGGGGCTGCAACAGGGCTCTGATGGGGACCAGCAGCTCGTGGGGGGGTCCCCCAGCTCTTACCCAGTGCCAGGAGGCTGCGGTTGATGTTGTTGGCCTCCACACAGAGCTCCCCGCTGGAGCCCGTCTCCTTCACCCGCTCGCTGCCGGCCAGGTCCACGAAGCACAGGGTGCCCTGCCTGCTGGGGAGGGTGCTGGCCTGGCGCACCCATGGTGGGTGGGGGTGATGCTTTGGCCACCCTCACCCTATTCCCATAGCAGTGTCCCAAGCCTTGGCTCTGGGATCTGGCTCCCTGCTGCTCATCCCACCAACACCAACAATCCTTGGGGAGAAGGGTATGCCCCCCTCCCTCCCCCCCACCTCGGGGCTGTTTGTACCCCCCCAAAGAGCCCCGTGCCCCCCATGCCCTCCCCCTGGAGAGGACACGAGCTCACGTTCCGGCTGCGGATGTGGATGGTCAGAAGAGCGTGGCTGCGGCTCGAGTGCCTGTTGAGGGCATGTGCTGAGGTCCTTCTCCTCTGGGATCCTACCGAGGGGGGATTGAGAGCTGCTGCCCAGCCCCTGCGCAACAGGACCCTGCCTCTTGGCTGCCACCTGAGCCCCACCACCCCTGGAGATGGTCTGCAGGGGCTGAGCCTCCCCATACCCAGTATGACCCCCCTCACTGAGCCCAGCGCCCGTTGCTCAGCACCTTGCAGGAGCAGGCTGGCAATGGCCTCCAGGCTCTCGAAGTCCACACTGAGCTGATTTTCCACATAGAAACCACGGGTTTTGCTCCACCGCAGGGGCAGGGTGCATGGAGGCCCTGGGCTCAGCAGGTCCCGGATCTGGGGAGGGGGGTACAGCAGAGGGGAGGCACTGGGGACACGGGGTGGCAGTGGTGCTGGTCTGGGTGGCCGGGCAGGCACCTACCTGTTCATTGTATATCTCCAGGTAGGAGGCACTGAGAGCCAGGTCAGAGCCACGGCTCCGGCTCTGCTCCAGGAGGCAGGCGAAGGACCTCTGCATCAGCCCCAGCAGGGCCGGGGATGCTGCGTGGGTCTCACCCTGTGGAGATGCCAGAATGGAGGTGAGTGGTCACCCACGACCGGCTGAGAAGAGCCCATCCCACCACCATGACCCAGTCAGGCTGGGGGGGCAGTGCCGTACCTGGCCGAGGGGGCCCATCAGGGTGTAGGTCTTCCCGGAGCCCGTCTGCCCGAAGGCAAAGACCGTGCAGGAGAAGCTGCCGGAGATGCCGAGCCTCAGGCATGGCCCCAGGCGGTGGCACAGGGATGCCACCTCCCGGCACGGCCCTGGCACTGCAGAGCCGCCCGGGTGGGATGGGATGGGATGGGCTGAGAGGGTCGGGGTCCGCGCGGGGCCCTTCGGGACTCACCCATCCATCGCCAGCTCCACCAACTGCCTCATCCCACTGCCTTCGAACACAGCCTCCTGCGAGTCGCCGGCGTCAAACACGGCGCTGAACCCGAAGGTGGCGTCTTGCCGGGCTGCACTCACCTGGGCACGGGGACAGCGGGGGGCTCAGGGGGGGCCGCAGCCCTCCCACGGCCGGTCCCCCGCAGGGAGGTGGCACTTACATGGACGGTGCCGTCGCCGAGGCTGTGCACAACCCGCCGGTCCCCTCGCCGCGTCTCCGAGCAGGTCAGTGGCCGGACCCTGATGGTGTGTGTGTGGGGTGGATGGGTCCGTGGGGACCCCCGCTGTGCCCGTGCCCTGGGCAGGAGGGTCCCCGATGTGTCCCCAAGCCCTTTGTGTCCCCCCCTTACCTCAGCACCACTCTCAGACGCGTCTCTTTGCCCACCGCGGGGTTCCCCCGCTCCTCTCCAAGGCTCCTTTGGGAACAGAGGGCAGAGGGACGGTGGGTGCCCCCCAGGCAGGGGGGGAAAATGCCCATGGGCATCCCGGGGGACAGGGTAGGTGGGGAGCCAGGGTCGTGCTGTGCTCCCCCTGTCCTCCCGTCCCCACTGTGCCCTAGGGCCTGGCAGGGGATGCAGTGAAACATCCCCCCGTGTCCCTGCAGAGGGACCACCCTGGCCCTCCGCAGCCTTTATGGGGTGCGAGTCCCTCGCTGCCTGCCCAAGCGGCTGCATCAGCACTGCCCAGGCCCTGCCTGCTCCAGGACCCAGAGGCCTCGATCCCTTCGGTTCCCTCCGTGTCCCGTCCCCCCCCACCCCGACTTACGGTCTCTCCTGGCCCCGGGGGAGCGTTTTGGGCCGTGTTCCCGGCCGGGGCTCCCAGCTCTGCTCCCCCGCCGCCTCCATTCGCCCCTCGCTCGGGGTCTCCGGCCACTCCCGGCCGCAGCCGCCGCCGGCCAGCGCGGGCTGCCCCGCACAACCGGCACCACCGCTCCGGTTAAACATTGACCGGTGCCAGCCCCGCGGGAGAGCGGCCCCCGCGGCGGGGGCCGAGGCGGAGGGGCGGCACCTCGGCCCCGGGCACCAGCAACACCCGGGGGGCCCCGACCCACCGGTCCCGGCTGCCCCCGAGCCCTGGGATGCTCACGGACCCCACCGTGCCCCGCCGGGGGGAACACAGCAGCGCGGGCAGCGGCGGGGTCACCGGTCCCCGAGGGCGGATAAGGGGGGGCAGCGCCGCCCGCTCGGGGCGGTCCCAGCCCGTCGAGGGGGGGATAAAAGCCGGGTCGGCTGCGCGGGCCCGGGGGAGCCGGGCAGGATGAGCGCGGCCCCGGGCACCTCCCGAGCCCCGCAGCCGCTGCTCCGCTTCCCCGGCGGGGCGGGAGGACCGGGCGGCAGCCGAGCCCCGGGGCCGTGCCCCTGCCCCTGCCCGGGGGGCCCGCGCAAGCGGCGGCGGACCACGTTCAGCCGGGGGCAGCTCTCGGAGCTGGAGCGGGCCTTCGCCGCCGTGCCCTACCCGGACATCGCCACCCGGGAGCGCCTGGCCGAGCTCACGCAGCTGCCCGAGGCCAAGATCCAGGTGAGCGCAGACGGGACCCCCCCTTTGGCCCCGCTGCCGCCCCGTCGGTGTCTCACGGTCCCGTGTCCCCATCCCAGGTCTGGTTCCAGAACCGCCGCGCCCGCAGGATCCGCAGCGCCAAACCGGAGCCACCGCCGCAGCCTCCAGCAGCGCCCGCCGAGCGGGGTCCTTCCACAGCACCCCCCGACGGCACCGCCCCGGGCCCGGCTCCCAGCGCGCCTCCACCGGGAGCCCGCAGCCCCGCTCCGGGCCTCCCCACCTCGCTGGGCTCCATCTCTGACCTCATCTACAGCGCGGCCATCACCAACCTGGGCGAGCCATAGCCACGATGGGGACCCCCCCCCCCCGGCCCCGCACCATGGTTTCATTGGGGTGACAAGGGGTGACCTGCCGGTCCCGAGGATGTCATCCTATATCCCAACTGCCGGAGCCCCGCGGCGGGGCCAGGCCCCATGAGCCCCCTAATGCCGACTAATCTTTTGGATGACAATACCTTAATCTGGGGCTGCTTCCAGGGCTGATTGCTGCGCGGCCGCCCCTAATCCGCGGGCACGTTCCCAGGTGCCGGCAGATCCCCCGTATCGGATATTAAAGTGTGTTTGCAGCGGGGCTTAGCTGCCATCAGAGCATTAATCACCGTGTCTGGCCCTGGCAGGGCGCCCGCATGGTGGCCACGTCCTCAAGGGGTCCCCTCCCACTGTGGGTGCACTGAGCTGGCTCCTTTCCCTGCCCCATGGCCACTGAGAACCCCCTTGGGCTCGGTGCGGAGGTGCCACCCACAGAAGCTGGGATCCTTTGGCAGTCCATGCATCCCTCATCCTGCTCCTGGAGGGCTGGGAGATGTGGCAGCCCCAGTGTGAGGGGACATGGAGCTGTCCCCAAGCCCGTCGTGGCTGTGATGGACACCATGATCCTCCTGAACCGCTCAAGTGGATGGGATAAGGGCTCATCCCCAAATATGAGCTGGGTTGGGTGGAGAGATGCTCTCCTGAGAGTGGGAGAGGGGAGGTTGCAGCAAGAGCTGGAGTGGGATGCGGGATGTGGCGGGAGAGGGAAGATCCATGGCTCCTAGACTCCTGCAGCAACAGCATCTCCAGTGAGGCAGGAAGCAGGTTGCAAACACACTGCCATTTATTTCCATGATAAAAGGAGCCAGCAGGAGCAGGGGAACAGTGGGAGCTGAGCCCCTCTTTGTGCTGGGTTACGACAGTCCACCCACGTCCCCTCCTCTGTGCCACCGCTGCAGGATCGCTGCTCCAGGATCCAGGACGGAGGGATGCAGCAGGTACCGACAGGCAGGGGAAGACAAACCTGCCCCGAATCCATGACTCCGGGGTGGGGGAGGTCTGGAGCTCGCAGCGGTCAGAGTTTCCCAAGGTCCCCTTCCAGGGTCCGCACCATCACGTACAGCTCGGCCAGGCCAACCACGGAGGCCACGATGACCGCGGACAGGACCCGCTGGGGACACGGACAGAGAACAAAGCGATGCCGTGTGCACGCGTGTGTGCGTGCAGGGCCGGCACGGGGCGCGCGCCGGGGCTCACTCACCGCCGCCGTCTCTGCGAACACGTACTGGCTGCCCAGGTACGTGCAGGCGAAGGCGGCCGCCACCGTCACCAGGAAGTTGAAGATGGTGATGACAACGGCTCTAACGGAGCGGACTGCGGGGAAGAGACGGTGGGAATGGGTTGGGGGGAGCTGAGACCCTGCTAATGGGGACTCCCGCGGGAAGACGGGGGGATTCACAGGCTCTGTGCATCCAGAGGCAGTCACAGGGACAGCCAAGAGGCTGCTCCTTCGCTCGAGGAACACCTGCCTGCAGTAAGAAACCTGCCAGGGTGACAGCGGAGAGGGCAGGGCTGCGTGGTCCCAGCAGCGGGGCCTGACCCGCAGGAGCCCCCATCAGCAGCACTCACCTTGCCTCCCGAATTCAGCCAAGGACCCGTTTGTCTCCTAAAGGACAAAACCGACCCGTGGTCAGTTGTGTTTTAATGGTAACCATGGAATAAAGCTGCCCCGACGCCCTGTCTGGAACACTCCGTGTCCTGAGAGCCGGGCGGAGCTGCGGCACTCGGGTTCCTTGGGAGTTCTGTGGGATCTGGCTCAAGAGCATTGAGAAGGGAACATTTCTGATCCGAGTGCTTTTTCCTGCCTGTGGGCTCCCTGCTGCACGTTTGGCTTTAACAGGGACACTGAAGGGTCTGGCCTTGTCACCGTGTCCATGCCTCCGGGAAGAGCTGAGTGTTGCAAAGCTCCACACACTCTGTGCTGACCTGGACACGGTGACAGGGCTCTGAGCACCAGATCCTGGCAGGGAAGCAGGGAAGAGTGGGATGAGCACACAGGATACGCTCCTCTGCTTCCCTGCTATTTGAGAGGAACGCTGCTGGCATTGCTACCCGGCTCTGCTAAAGCTGCTCTGGTTCAGGGATCATGGAATGGTTTGGCTTGGAAGGGACCTTAAAGCTCCTCCAGCTCCAACCCCTGCCACGGGCAGGGACCCCTTCCACTGGAGCAGCTTGCTCCAAGCCCCTGTGTCCAACCTGGCCTTGAACACTGCCAGGGATGGGGCAGCCACAGCTTCTCTGGGCACCCTGTGCCAGCGCCTCAGCACCCTCACAGGGAAGAGCTTCTGCCTAAGAGCTCAGCTCAGTCTCCCCTCTGGCAGGTTAAAGCCATTCCCCTTGGCCTGTCCCTACAGGCCCTTGGCCAAAGCCCCTCTCCAGGTTTCCTGCAGCCCCTTTAGGCGCTGGGAGCAAAGCAGCTCTTCCCATAAGGGTTAACACAACAGCAGAGCACATTACCCTGGTCATTCAACTTTTACCTTAACACAAAAGATCTCATTTTAGACTACAACGAACACGGAGCCATTCAGACAAAGGCAGCACCAGTGCTCCCCATGGCACATTTACCGCAGGTTCCTCGTCTCCCAGCCCCAAACCCGAGCTCTCCATCACAAAGAGCCGTTCCCAAAGCCCCATCCATGGCCCCATCCCGCGCTGTTATCCCCGCACCGCCGGGTCCCTGTACCCCCCAGCTCCAACCCCGCTGCCGCCGCCGCCGCCGCTCACCCTGCCGGTGACATCGCGGGTCATCCGCCGGTACTCCTCGTTAGCCAGCCTGGCCTTGATCCGCTCCAGCCGCGCCACCAGCTCCGGGTTCTGCGGGCAGGGAAGCGCAGAGCTCCGCGAGCACCGGCACCACCACGGCTGCCAACACCCCAACACCCCCCATACCACCGGCCCCCACGTACCCGCGGCGGCACCGGCACCTCGGGCAGGTGGATCTCGCTGCCCTCCAGCAGCTCGTGTAGGCGCAGCGGGGACCCTGCGGTGCGGACAGGCCCGTTACCGGCGGCGAGGCCTATGTCACCGGGGGGGCGTGTGAGTGTGAGTGAGTGCGGCGCGGCCTACCTGCGTCCCGCAGCGCGGCGTGCAGGCTCCGCAGCAGGCTGAAGGGCACCAGCGAGCCCTCGGAGGCCAGCGCGGCCCGGAGCTCGTCCTGCAGCCCCCGGGGCAGCGCCGCCAGCTCCCGGCCCTCCGCCGCCCGCCTCAGCCGCGGCCCGGCCCGCACGGCCGACGCCATCTTGTCCCCGCCGTCACCCAGGCAACGCGGGGCCGCGACCATAGAGCGCGGAGCTAGAGCAGCACCCGCGGGGGCTGCCGGGAAGCGGAGGCGGCGGCGGTGGTGGTGCCGCGGTGCACTGTGGGCCGGCGGCGGGATGTCGGGCTGCGCGGCGCGGCGGTACGTGGCGGCGGCGCTGAGCCGGGCCCGGGCTCGCGGGGCTCCGCTCTGGGAACCGACCCCGGTACCGACCCCGGCCCCTGCCCGCGGGCTGCGGGCCCTGAGCGCGGGCGGAGCCGCGGCCCTCCCGCTGCAGCTGCTGCCGCCGCGCAGGCACCTCTCGTCGCGGTGAGGCCTGTGGGGGTGTCCGGTGAGGGAGGCCCGGGGAGCCGCGGGGATGGGGCAGGAGCGGGGCCGGGGGGGGGGAGCTGTTCGGGTGTTTGGGGGCTGCCGGGGGGCAGGGTTGAGGTGTCCGGTGCCGTTTGCAGGGGGGGAGCCGGGCGGTCTTGTGTGTAATGGGGCGGGAGCAGCGCCTGGGGCTCCGGTGCTCTGTGTGTGCCCCCCCCCCACCTCCCCAGCCTAGGTCCGGTTCAAACCCCCCATGTGCCCCCCAGGAACCGTGCAGAGGGCAAAGTGCTGGAGACCGTGGGGGTGTTCGAGGCCCCGAAGCAGCACGGCAAATACGAGACCGGGCAGGTAAGGGGCTGCCGTCCGCAGGGACCGGGTGCGTTGCCATGGGGAGTCCCAGTTCATGCTCCCCGCCTCTGCTGTGTCTGCAGTCTGTGCCAGCAGCACGCTCACAGGGATCTGCAGCGTGACACGGGTGGCGTTTGTGCCGCGGGGCTCATTGAAGGGGCTTCTCCTGGGCTTGGGAATCGGCAGCTGAGACAGACCCGGCTCTGCTCACTGCTCACAGCCGCTCCCGTGCGCTGAGCACTGGTCTCCTTCCTGCTCTCCTGCTGCTCTGCCACCTTATCGCTGCCTTACTTACTTGCTTTCATGGGATAACAGCGACATTAAGTTCTCTCATCCCAGACTGCTGCTGCATCCGCACTGCGGAGCCCTGTATTCCCATCCCGTGTGTCCATGCCCTTTATAAACATTCCCAGTTTCACCTCAGTTAACAGGTCTGTTTAAACCTCACCATAAAAGGGCTTTTGGCTTCCTGTTCTGTGTCGTATCCGACTTGATTACAGCTTGCTGTGTGTTCAGCTGCGATTATTGCTTCCTTTCAGCTCTTCCTTCACAGCGTGTTTGGTTATCGAGGAATAGTCCTGTTCCCCTGGCAAGCCAGGCTCTACGACCGGGATGTAGCTTCTCCTGTCACAGAAAAGTAAGGAATTGTCCCGGTTTATTTGTTGTTGGACCCTTGCATTGACACTTTGTAGTGAGATTCCTGCTTGGGGGAAACAAGGCGTTCTAAGGACTGTGGTACGGGGCTGTTCTGCACGAATGAAGAGAGGTGCTTAAAGGAGGGGTGGTGCATGAGGATGAATTGTGTGTCAATGGGAGACAGGATGGAAATGTGGAGGATGAGTGTGTGTGAGGGACATAATGGGAGTAATGAAGTCATGCTCCTGGCATTTGTTAATATAAAGACCCCCCTCCCCTTGTGCTGCTCTTTGAGCTGGGACCAGGCTCCTGTGTTAGAATTGCAGCCTGGTGCCTCTGTAGAGTGCCTGGGTTTGCCAGCTGCCTCCCCAGCCCAGTCCCTACAGGACCTTGTCTAAAGCCCCTCTCCAGGTTTCCTGTAGCCCTTTTAGGCACTGGGAGCAAAGCAGCTCTTCCCCCAAGAGTTAAGGCAACAGCAGGATGTATGCAGGGCCTTAACGCATGGGGATGCCAGAAACAACGTGGAGGAGGGACAGCAGGCTGGGATCACAGGGAATACCAGCAGGAAGAGATGCTGGCTTGGCCCAACAGCCACCATGCCAAAAGATCTCTGCTCTTCCTCCCTGGCCTGTGTTGGAGGCAAGGACTGAGGAGTAAGCAAAGAGAGCATCAGGGCACAATAGAAATGCTCACCCCAAACAGGAGACTGGGTTGAGCATGCAGGAATTCCGAGTCATCTGGGAATAGCGCTGTGCCTGTGACAGCCCCCACTGATTGTCATCTCTGCTCGTCTGTTGTCAGGGGTGGCTGCCATGGGTTTAGTTTGGATGGATTTGAACGTCACAGGCTGTGAAATGTATTGCTTCTCTTGGTCCTGATGACAGGAAGGGACTTCAGCTCAGTGCTCTGCTTTTCTCCTTAGGAGCGAGAACGTGGCAGGCCATGGTTCCAAAGAGGTCAAGGGCAAAACACATACTTACTATCAGGTGTTAATAGATGCCCGGGATTGTCCACATATAGTAAGTAACAATCTTGGTATTGAAACTCAAATACCTGCTGTGGGAATGCTTCAGATGGACAGGCACTGAGAGCACATGGCTACGATGGCTGACTGGATGGCTCAGAATATAGGGACAGATTTGTTCTTCAGGACATGTTTTCCCCGAGAAAGAATCTGGAATGTCATAGGACTGTTTTCTGGATCAGGTTTTCCCTTTCCAGCCTCCTTTCCCCAGCCTGTTGGCATTCCTGCTCTCGCATACAGGTCACTCTGGATGTGAGTTACGGCACTGCAAATGCTGTTGGTGTGGAGAATTAGTTCAGGGGAATGGAAGGGAGATGTTGTGGGTGGACTGGTTAAATACAGTAGACATTACACACCTCACAAAGCACAACAGTGACCTGCACTGTGGGAACTGGCCCTCAGCCCTCCCCACAGGAAGACATAAAGCTCCTTTTCCTCAGTCCCAGAGGTCACAGACGGAGGCAGTGACGTTCCTGGCAAACCACGATGACAGCAGAGCCCTCTATGCCATCCCAGGTGAGCAAACCGCACTGTCAGCCTCTGGAGACGTGGGTGGTTGTGAGGTGAGCTCAGAAGATTCAAGAGTCACCTTCTGCCGTTGAAGAAGCAGCTCCAGTGCCTAAAGGGGCTGCAGGAAAGCTGGAGAGGGGCTTTGGACAAGGGCCTGTAGGGACAGGCCAAGGGGAATGGCTTTAACCTGCCAGAGGGGAGACTGAGCTGAGCTCTTAGGCAGAAGCTCTTCCCTGTGAGGGTGCTGAGGCGCTGGCACAGGGTGCCCAGAGAAGCTGTGGCTGCCCCATCCCTGGCAGTGTTCAAGGCCAGGTTGGACACAGGGGCTTGGAGCAAGCTGCTCTAGTGGAAGGTGTCCCTGCCCATGGCAGGGGTTGGAGCTGGGTGAGCTTTGAGGTCCCTTCCAACCCAACCCATCCCATGATCCATGAACCAGAGCAGCTTTAGCAGAGCCGGGTAGCAATGCCAGTAGTGTGATCCATTCTTCTGCAGGGAGACTTCTGAGCTGCTTTTCACTGGGGAAGCTCAGTGGCTTTTGGGGTTTCTTTTTCAGGTTTAGACTACGTAAGCCATGAGGATATCCTCCCCTACAGCTCCACTGATCAAGTGCCCATCCAGCATGAGCTCTTTGAGAGGTTTCTCATGTACGACCAAACGAAAGGTAATTCCTGCCTTCAGAGGGAGCTCTTTAGAGCCAGATGCTTGAGGTGCTTCGTAACAAGTACCCACAACTCCTTGGATACGGTATAGAAATCATGGTCTAGTGGAGTCCCTCAGGGGTCGGTGCTGGCACCAGTGCTGTTTAATAGCATCAACGACCTGGATGGAGCTGAGTGTACCCTCAGCAAGTTCACTGGTGATACTGAACTGGGAGGAGTGGCTGACACACCAGAGGGCTGTGTTGCCATTCAGTGAGACCTGGAGAGGTGGGCGGAGAGGAACTTGATGAAATTCAACAAGGGCAAGTGTAGAGTCCTGCATCTGGGGAAGAACAACCCCATGTAGCAGTACAGGTTGGGGGCTGACCTGCTGGACAGTAGTGAAGGGGAAAGGGACCTGGGGGTCCTGGTGGATAGGAGGATGACCACGGGCCAGCAATGTGCCCTTGTGGCCAAGAAGGCCAATGGCATCCTAGGGTGCATTAGAAAGGTGTGGTTAGTAGGTCAAGAGAGGTTCTCCTCCCCCTCTACTCTGCCTTGGTGAGGCCGCATCTGGAATATTGTGTCCAGTTCTGGGCCCCACAGTTCAAGAAGGACAGGGAATTGCTTGAAAGAGTCCAGCGCAGAGCCATGAAGATGATTAAGGGAATGGAACATCTCCCTTATGAGGAGAGGCTGAGGGAGCTGGGACTCTTTAGCTTGGAGGAGACTGAGGGGTGACCTCATCAATGGTTACAAACATGTAAAGGGTGAGCGTCAGGATGATGGGGCTAGGTTTTTTTCAGTGCTGTCCAGTGATAGGACAAGGGGCAATGGGTGTAAACTGGAGCATAGGAGGTTCCATGGGAACATCAGGAAAAATTTCTTCACTGTGAGAGTGACAGAGCACTGGAACAGGTTGCCCAGGGGGGCTGTGGAGTCTCCTACGCTGGAGATATTCAAGGCCCACCTGGACAAGCTCCTGTGTGATGTACTCTAGGTTACCCTGCTCTTGCAGGGGGGTTGGACTAGATGATCTTTTGAGGTCCCTTCCAACCCTTAGGATTCTGGGATTCTGTCTGCTTTGGGTTACAGTGAAACCTACTTTAAGTAGTTTCTGTAACTGTTGAAGGAGTTGCTCTGAGGGGAGACCACTGCAGACGCAGTGACTTCTCCTCCTGAGCTCTCTTCTTTCCCTCCTGCAGTTCCACCTTTTGTAGCAAGGGATACGCTGTGTGCGTGGCAGGAGAAGAACCACCCCTGGTTAGAGCTCTCCGATGTGCACCGGGAAACCACAGAGAACATCCGAGTCACAGTCATCCCCTTCTATATGGGCATGAGGGTAGGTCTGGGGTGCGTGTTGGTGGTACCTCTGTGATCTGCTTAACGTGCTTACTGCTGAAATGACCTTTTAATCACAGCTGTGATTCGTTCTGCTGATGTCCAGCAGAGGTATGAACACTGTTTTGTCATAGAGGTTTGGAAAATTGGCTTTTCCTTGTTATTTTCAGGATGGGAAACGGTCCTGTTCTGC